ACCCTGCTACAATACGGATTCTTCATGACTCACAGGGAGTCAGATACTGTCAAAGACTTACACTAGTACGAACCTCCCGGATGAGGTCGCTCATAAGTAGGAAGACCCGCACCAGGTTCGCCAGCCCTCAGGACATCCAGATATGCAGTCCATTTTTTCTCTGTCCACTCCCTCAGATCGAATCCTTCCTGCCCGGGCTCCAGGGAAGTTGCATTGACGCTCAGGTAACATCCATGTTTCAATTTACCCTCCTGCCAACCGTCTTTCTTCGGTCGCCATGCTTTCACAATGCCTGTCTCTCCAAGCCCGAGCTCGGCTAAGTCGACATCTATGAGCTCGCCCTCGCCCATGAAGATGAAGCATCGTGTGGCGCACACACGGCAGTAGAAGAAATGGAGGAGCTTCTCATCGCATTGGTAGTCACCCATGTCCTGAAAGGGATCTAGAGGGGAGAGCAGGAGAAAGTCATCCGGGGAGGAATTCAGGCGAGCATGTAGGAATCCTGACTTGTGGCAAATGCTGCAGTTGCACCGGTAGAAGGACTGCTCCCCGTGCTTGCGAGTCTGGGGCGGGTTGTGGGGAAAGGTCAGGAAGGCGATGTAGCGAGTGGCACCGCAGTGGCAGGATCCCTTGAAGGGGCGACGTTGGGGATTTTCAGCCATTTTGATGCAATTATGGAAGCGTTTGCGACACCGAGGAAAGACTAGAGCTTCGTGAGGATTATATAGTAGCTGCTGCTGCCTACGGCAATTGGGTCCTGATCACAATCTCCGCCCCCCAACAATAAGCCGGCTGTCGGCCTGCCGTGTCTCAAGCTCCACCACTGTAACAAACGATAGCTTTACCCTTCATGGGTAAGGTAGCTGCCGACTGGTTACATTAGTCTCTCAGAGCCGTGAGCCGATCTTGCCTCCGAGATAGGGCAAGGTAGGAGGTTGCATGGGCTGGGCTGAGTTCATGCAAAAGGTGTCTAACCAATTACGGCACACATTACCTTACCACTCTCATGATGACGATTTGGGTAGATGGGTTGGGAAGGGGCTATCCATAAGAATGATATACGCAATATAAGAGGTAAGAGACTGTTGAAAGTCTAACAAGTTCGTAGAGCTGTGAAGACCATCCCCATGCTCATGTGCTGGGGGACATCAGAGCGGGGCCAGCTAACCAGTCATGAGGTTAGCGGCGGCTTCCAGCTAAACCACTGACCTCATCATCCTCCCCAACTCCGCCACGCATTACCCTATCGGCTGGTTCACGACAGTATCTTTCCATCCCTTCCGTTGCATCCCCGTTCGCTCGTTCGAGACGGTGAGCCTCTTCACCCGGCATTCGACCGACAGCCATTCCGCAGGCTTCAACTTGTGACGATGTCCTTTCGGTTAACCATCGAGGACGGCCAGTTTCGTGACGGCCATGGTCGTCAGGTAGTCCTACGGGGCATCAACGTCGCCGGGGATGCCAAATTGCCCAGCGAGCCTGAACAGCCTTCCAACGTCGGCGATGACTTTTTCGATGGCGACAATGTTTCCTTCCACAAACGCCCATTTGCGGCAGATGATGCCCACGTTCATTTCTCGAGATTGAAGCGATTCGGTTTCAATACAATCCGCTATGTTTTCACTTGGGAGGCCCTCGAAAGCCGGGGACCAGGCGTATACGATGAAGAATTTGCCCAGCATACGATTAATATATTGAGGATAGCCAAGGAATACGGGTTCTATGTCTTTATGGATCCTCATCAGGATGTCTGGTCTCGTTTCACAGGCGGATCCGGCGCTCCCCTGTGGACTGTCTACGCTTGTGGTCTCAACCCCCAGAGTTTCGCCGCGACTGAGGCCGCGGTAGTGCATAACACATACCCCGATCCTGAGACCTTCCCCAAAATGATTTGGTCGACCAACTATTGGCGACTTGCGGCTGCCACAATCTTCACATTCTTCTTTGCTGGCCGCGACTTTGCACCCAAATGTATTATCGATGGTGTGAATATCCAAGACTACCTACAAGACCACTTCGTCAACGCATGCAAATTTCTGGCCAAGAGGATCCATGAAGCAGGGGATCTCGAGGACCAGGTTGTCATGGGATGGGAAAGCATGAACGAGCCTAATAGGGGTCTTGTAGGGTATGCGGATTTGACCAGCATTCCTAAGGAGCAGCATCTCAAGAAGGGGACTAGTCCCACGATATGGCAAGCCTTTCTCACAGGTAGTGGCCGGGCTTGTGAGGTCGACGTGTGGGATATGGGAGGTATGGGCCCATACAAGACCGGAACAAAGCTGATTGACCCCCATGGAGAGGTTGCATGGCTACCAGAAACCTACGATGATACCCGCTATGGTTGGAAGCGAGACCCAGGATGGAAGTTGGGAGAGTGCATCTGGGCCCAGCATGGAGTTTGGGACCCAAGCACAGATACTCTCCTTCGAAAGGACTATTTTGCTCAGAACCCGCGCACAGGGAAGACCATCGACTATCCTGAATTCACCAACACATACTTCATGGACTTCTGGCGCAAGTCAAAGGACGCATATAGAAGTTGCCACAAGGACTGCTTGCTTCTCATGCAGTTCCCTACTTTGGAAATTCCACCTAAAATCAAGGACACCCCCGACGATGACCCGAGGCTGGCCTTCACTCCCCATTACTATGATGGCATCACTCTCATGACCAAACACTGGAATAGTACCTGGAACGTGGATGTTATTGGCGTCTTGCGTGGTAAATATTTGCACCCCGCCTTTGCCATCAAGATAGGGGAGACTGCAATTCGGAACTGCCTTCGGGATCAATTAAAGTTCCTTCGTGAGGAGGGCAAGGAGCAGACCGGGAATCATCCATGTATTCTTACCGAATTCGGTATTCCATATGACATGGATGATAAGCAGGCCTACAAGACTGGTGACTACTCCAGTCAGAGTTCTGCTCTGGATGCGAATTACTTTGCTGCCGAGGGTGCAAACCTCGAGGGCCACTGCCTCTGGCTATACTGTGCTACGAATAACCATACTTGGGGCGACAGATGGAACGGAGAAGATCTGTCCATCTACTCGACTGATGATAAAATCCCATCGCTCTCAGCGGTACCAAGGAACACCGCCTTACATCGCAGCGCTTCCACCGAGTCAAAGTCTGCTACTAGTGCTAATGCCAAAATTCTTCCCGACGACGAAACCGTGACTCCTGCAAACCTACAGAGGACTCTAACCAATCCGTCTATCAGCTCGGAACCCTCGTCAAAACAGCCAGAATTGACGGCAGCAAGTGGGTATCGTGCCGCCGAGGCGTTCATCAGACCTACACCAACAGTCGTTGCTGGCGATGTGATCCAGTATGGCTTCGATCTTCGGAGCTGCACGTTTACGTTGAAATTGTCGGCAGAAAAGGCCACTTCGGACGACGCACCGACCACTGTATTTTTACCAGAATATCATTTCCCCAAGGATCTGTCTGATGTCTCGGTATCCGGCGGCAAGTGGGAAATAAGCTCAGACGAGACTGAGGGGCCTCTGCTTCAGCGATTCAAGTGGTGGCATTCCGAAGGCGAGCAAGACCTTAAAATTACTGGGCTTGTTCGAAAACACAACGTTCCCCAGGGATCTCCGGAGGATGCTGGGTATTTGGAACAGTGCCAGCAGGGTTACGGGTTTAACTTCTCGAACTGCAGCGTAATGTGATGCGAGCGATCGGGAATTTTTCTTGGCTTCTTTCCCCACTCCCGTGTACGGATGGGTTTGGTATGGATTATATGATCTTCTCTTATTCCTTGGCTTCAGATGTTGCGACTTGTGCGATTAGGGCGGGCATCATTGAACTAGCATTTCCCCTAGATTGACCTATTAATTCTCAATAGTCCGTTCCTGGATATCTGATATTCATCAGTAATTGCGCAGTCGCTTCGCTGAATCCGGGTGTAAAAAGTTGGAGCCAGGCACCCTCTTCCGCGCAGATGAAACATGCATTCTGTGGCACAAAGGGGTCATGGCCCGGCCACGGAACACGGTTTGATGGGCGTGTGCACGGATCAGGAGTGCACCGGTTAGGCTGGATTGGGGCGAAGGAATCAAAGGTACCTGTGTCGTGGTGATGCTCAGACGACGAATCCGCCCCGTCAGAGTCTAAGGTGTGCCCCAAAGGAACATCCTCTGCACGTTTCGCCGTAAGCTGAGGCACAGGCAATACGAGCCCTGCGTCTGTGCCTGAGGTTGGTGCTGGGTGTGCACCCCACAGGCTGCGCTTGTGGGTTCTCGGAGGCGCTTATTGGTTCGTTGAAAGCCATTTTAGCTGCCGTTAAGCGCGGGGGTCCCTGTTGGGATCCACAACCAGCTGTTTAGTGCATAATCAAGGCATAATTTTATGGAGAACGAACAAAGCCACGGCCAGGTCCATGTTCGTGACGGCCGGCCGGTTGTCCAGCTGTATCCAGGCCGTCCCTCTTTTCGCATCTTTTCTGCGTGTCAAAGGCTCCCCTGCGCCAACGACCATCGGATGGCCCGATAGACGGCTCCCTGCCTACGCCTGTGTCCCAATAATTCCAGAGAGGCGGAAGACGAACCAGCACCAGTCCGTTCCGAGACAAGTGAGGATACCTGATGCCGGGTGCTGGGCTGCGCTATTCGATACCCTGAGTCTTAGCGGTGGTTGGCGTTGGTCCCGCACCATCGAGTACCTGCTTTGCCTTACGCATCTGCGCTGGGAAGGCCAAGCCAACTAGGTAACTACTGTCCGCATCGCCAATCTGGCAACCATCATCAAACAACGAACTAACTGGTATTCTGTCTCTGCAGTCTCACCACCAGATAAAAATTACTCACCAGTCGCCGTACCGCAATTTTGTCTCCGACACTGTCCCTCTTTCTCCAGCAACGACTTCGCCACCCCCCTCAACTGAGTTCTAAACCACCGTTGCCGACCGTTTCTTCGACCAACCGACGACACCTCGATCTTGAACCCAATCCTGCTCGCGGAGGGCTTCCTCCCCTCCGGCGTCGCCCACCATGTACACAACCCCCCAGAGGCATCCGGGCGACACCCAGCGGCAGTACTCGGTCCCGCCGCCTCCGTCCATGTCGCCGCCGATGGCTGGAAATCAGATGAACAACATGATGCCCCTGCCACCGCCGCCCCCTCGATATACTGTTGCAACAGGTGTCCCAGGAACACAGGGCCATATGATACCTCCTCCTCCCCCTCCTCCTCTCAGCGCTTCCAGCCAGCAAGCATGGTATAGCAGTGGATATGTTCGCATGAATGATAACCGCTTCCCGCCCCCGCCGCCTCCCCTGGGCCAGAAACAGCTGCAAACGTACAATCCTAGGGATCATGCGCAATATCCTACAGCACAGATCGTGTCAGTACCGCCGCCCGTGGCGCCGGCACCCCTGACCAGTGCTACCTATGTTCCGAGTGGTGATACCTTCGGGGAGGGTGTTGGCATTCCGGGGTTTGGCCTTGGCCCTGATGACCTATCAGCATTGGCGGCGCCTCACTCGCCGAACTGGGCCTCCTATGAAGGCACAGACACACTGGGAACAATGGGCACACTAGGCACGCTGGGGACGTTAGACATGTATGGGAAGACACCTCCTATTACCGTGACGATATCAAACGAATTAGCCGCCCAGTGGCCGTTGGATACGGTTCTGATTTGGCTGGCACACCACCAATTTTCCAAGGAGTGGCAGGAAACCTTCAAAGCCCTTAATCTTTACGGATCGAAATTTCTCGAAATCGGGATTCATCAACAAAATAGTCGTGGATCTGCGAGTATGATGCACCAGTTGGTGTATCCCAAGTTAAATGAAGAATGCGTTCGAAGCGGATGTACATTTGACCAGGAGAAGGAAAGAAAAGAGGCATCGCGAATGAGGCGACTGATCCGATCGATTGTTTCATCCGGCAGGCCTGATGGATCCAATGCAACTCCTGGATCAGGATTTAGAGACTCTCAAGGAACAAGTATTCCTAGCGAGGCCGGCGATTCCCCTCTTGTAAGTTTAGACTTTGCTATCAAGTCTGGTTATTGGAAACATTAACAGGTAATAGACACCGGCTCACGCACATGGGCCTACCATTCTCGACAAGCACGCACCTGCGCCCACCATGCTCGATAAGCCAGCAGGAAGTTTCTCGGAGAGCCGGCCACAGCTCAAACCACCACAGAACTTGGACTCCAGTGATTTCCATCGCCAAGTGTTCAAGAGCTTAGATTCCGAACCTTCGTACGGAAGTCCTAAAGGCGATCATGGAGAGTTTACTGGTAGTCCCTTCCAGCTGGGCACTACCTTAATATCTCCGTCACCAACCAATACCGAATTTCACCATCGCCGAGGACGTAATAGCACCGACTCTACATTTTCAGCGGGACAAGGAAACTCGGCCGAAGCCTCAAGTTCAAAAGGGTTGAGTTTCCCGACATCCGCAGGAATGACCGAGCGCCCAAAACAATCTCCTCTGGAATCGGCTGAACGACCTGCTGCAGGGGAAACCCCGGGCTGGCAGCAAGGCCTCACTAGGATTTTTCGTACACGTGCCAAGACTCCAAAGGATGAACGAGAGTCACCTGGGGAGGGTGATTCGCCAACAGATCCAATGAGTAGGGATAGGGATGACGCTGCTACCATGAGTCGGCCTGGTGTTGCAACAACCAACACGAGCAACAACACATTCACAATTGTTAAGCGCACGAGGATTTATGTGTTGGTGACAATGGATTTCTGGAATTATCGCATGTGTGATGTCACTACCGCGTATACCGCAGCCGATCTCCGCAGAGATATCTGTGCCTCCCTCGGATTGCACGATAGCGAGAACTTCCGAATTCATCCAACCGAGCTGGGGAGATTTGAGCACCTCACGCCTCTTGCCGACCAAGAACTTCTGACCTTGAAGCGCAACAAAGCTGACACTATTGGAACCCTTAAATTCTTCGTTGCTCCGTTGAGCCAACCAAGCGGGACTTGGCGGCTCTCTAATGGCTCCAACAATGGATCTAATAAGGTCCCCCATCCAACCACCCTTTCGCCTGGTTATCTTCCACCTGGCGTATCTGTAGAGGATAGCAAGAATCCTCGTAACAGATCAAAGCCATCACCGGGGACAAACTTGACAGTTGACACTAGTCTGGGTAAGAATGGTGAGGAGAGGAGGTCTCCTAGTGAGAGAAAGGAGGAGCAGCGGAGAAAGCAACAAGTGAAAGCAAGCCCGAGATCGCCCGAATCAGCGACAAGCATCGTTGGGAAGCGGCACGTTGACTTCAATCAACCGCGAACCTCGCCTTTCGAGGATAAGAAACACGATGTTATGTTCCCGCAAAGGAGCCCCCCTGCTCCGCCTTCGGATCCCTCTGCCACCCTGATTAAAGCCAACTCACTTTCAAAGCCCAAGGGCGCAAATCGTCGGTCTGCAAACCGCATCTCGGATGGCTTTATAACACCAAGAGTGCCATATGAGAAGATGTTGGAGAAGGACAAGAAATATAGACCATTGCCGCCTAGCGCGATGAAGAAGGACATTGGTTCGAGCGGATCGCCTGCATTAGGATCATCAAAATCTCCTGGATTTACATCTCCGCAAAAGTCGGCGACAAAACCAGGTAAGAAATACTGTCTGGCACAAGAGTTCATGCATCCTACGATATGGGTTGTAAATTCACGGCGCTATGCGCGCAATGTGATCGAGACTCGGAGAAGCGAACGTGGACATCTCTTTTGTGACTCAATGTCAAATGATTTTGTGCTAATTTATGAAGTGATAGAATTCCAACCCGCTGATCACAATTCTGGATCAACAAGCGGGAGTCAGAGGATATTAACCCCGACAGCTGATGAAAACAGCGATCCGACGCCCTGGGAAGAATTCACAGGAGGGTCCTTCGCTAAGACAATAACCTCTCCAACTCCAGAGCCGGACGCCGATGGTAGTGATGATTCTGATGACGGTCTGTTCGCGATTATGCCGAACAGAGGCAATAAGGGGCCTGCGAAGAAGCTTGGGCGGGCTCCATCGAAACCAAAGACGCCCAAGTCTGCGCTGTTAGGCAACAGGGAACGAGATAGGAAGACCCTGTCTGTTAATTTCAGCACCACGTCCCCTAAATCGCCCGAATTCCGAGATCGTCCTCGCCAAACTGGAAAGGGGAAGAGAGGGTCATTTATTGAGATGGAGAAGGATATGGATACATGGGCTAACCGTCCTCCCACCGATGCTCTGATAAACAACCTGGACGACTTCTTCCCTAACCTTGATCTTGATGCCCCTGTTATCGAGGAGACTGGGGAAGGAGGAATGGCAGCGTCGCCTATTACCCCTGACGACGATGATATAGAGAGGATTGACCAGGCCGAGAAAAAGAGCCCAGCATCGCCAACTGCTGGGCCGTCCTCAGCCAAAACCCAGGAATCCGATGGAGCGTTTGGACCTGGAAAGTCCTTCCTGGACAATGACAGCGATACTCTGGGCTCTGATGAATCAACACTCAAAGCATTGGAGCGACCTATGTCGATGCATAGCCATAAGAAGTCTAATAGCAAAGGGGACCGACGTTCTATGGGAGGACTTGGGCGGAAGAACACCATTCGTGACATTGCCAACAAGCGGTATACTCGCAACATGCAAAATTACGGGACGAGTACGAGCAAGGCAACCGACAAGGATAAGATTATGCGACGCAAGAGCACCAAGATGTTTAACGCCAACATTGTTCAGATCAGGCCCGACGAGATGCCAGCCATACCTATGCCACAAGAGCACGAGCCTATGCCAAAGCGACAAACGACTTTCCGATGGTTTAAGGGTCAGCTTATTGGCAAGGGTACTTACGGGCGAGTATACTTGGGAATGAACGCCACCACTGGTGAATTCTTGGCTGTGAAAGAGGTGGAGGTCAATTCTAGAGCGGCTGGCGGCGATAAGGAGAAGATGCGAGAGATGGTTGCAGCCCTTGACCAGGAAATCGACACCATGCAGCATCTGGATCATATGAATATTGTGCAGTACTTGGGTTGCGAGCGAAAGGAGACGAGCATTAGCATCTTCCTCGAGTATATTTCTGGTGGTAGCATCGGATCGTGTCTACGAAAGCATGGGAAATTCGAGGAGTCTCTGGTCTCCTCGCTGACACGCCAAACTCTGGCTGGACTGGCGTACCTTCACCGAGAAGGCATTCTGCATCGGGATCTCAAGGCAGACAATATTCTGCTTGATCTCGATGGCACCTGCAAGATCAGTGATTTCGGTATCTCTAAGAAGACAGACAACATCTATGGCAACGACAAGACGAATTCCATGCAGGGTTCAGTCTTTTGGATGGCGCCTGAAGTCATTCGTTCGCAGGGTGAGGGTTACAGCGCCAAGGTTGATATTTGGAGTTTGGGATGTGTAGTATTGGAAATGTTTGCCGGCCGCCGGCCCTGGGCAAATGAAGAAGCCGTGGGTGCTATCTACAAAATCGCCAACGGAGAAACACCACCCATTCCCGAGGAGATTCAGGAGACGATTGGTCCACTGGCAGTCGCATTCATGATGGACTGTTTCCAGGTGTAAGTGCAAGGCAACTTTTCTAGAGTTTGAAGGCGATTGCTAATATATCTGCGCAGAAACCCCTCGGAACGGCCGACGGCGGACAAAATGCTCTCGCAGCATCCGTTCTGTTTCGCAGACCCTGAATTCAGGTTCGAAGATACTACGCTGTATGCAAAGATCAAGGGTATGGCCAGTTGAGCACCTTGCTAGGAACAGTTGGTGGTATCCTTGGCGTTCCCCCCCCGCGCCAACCTTTTCGACTTATCTGTCATCTATATTTTCGACGTATGGTCTGTAGCATGGGTATTGGGTGTGAATTGCTTTTTGTTGATTTTAGCTAGCGACGGCGCTATTATGATTGGGATGAGATGTGACCATCAATTAATGGGCAGTTGGTTTCTGGTTGGGTTGGTTCCGTTTATCCAAGCGTAAGGTACCTACCTACAATGAGGAATATTGGTTCTGGGCTTCGTCTGCCTGCCTCCTCGGCTTGCTGAGCTGTAGGGGAAATACAAGGCCTAGTATTGATGTGCTCCAATCAAGCAGCTGAATGTGACATTGCCGTATGCGCCATATCACATGTGGAGATTACAGAGTGTGTGTTATCAATGTTTGTGGGTGCTATGTATGCTTGTGTGTGTGTCCCCAGAGTCAAGGTCGCACATTGGATCCATCCACCTCCCCAATTGATGGAGCCGTGCCGCTAATAAGCTTAGTGGTTCAGTCCCCTAACTGGAGGGTCGCATCGGGACATCAGGCGACCAGACTAACCTAGAGCTGACCTCCATTGAAAAGCTCCCCGAATTGGACTACGGGCGTCGGCTACCGACTTGGCATGATGATGGCGCCCATCTCAGGCAAGACCCTGATGCAAAGGCTCTTTGCACATCCCCCAGGATGAGATGAGTCCTCGTTCTCCTCTTTTGTATTGTACCGAGCTGGGGCTGCTCGAGACCTACCACGTTCCCTGACCTGGGTTTGCCTTATTCCTCCCCCCTCCTCTGAAATAGATTTCCCTTGCCGGGCCCCAAGCTCTTTCTCTTGGCACTGCCGTTTTAGTGGCGGCCGGTGTTGCAGTGGAACAGATTGCCGGCCTTTGAAACCTGGCGCGCTCCTCCCTCGGAACAGCGTGAGCGAGGCAAGTAGGGAGGGCTTGGTCTGTTCCAGATAGCTCGTATTTGAGTTAATGGATCGACTCTTTACTCCTGCACAGGCAATGTCACTAACAGAGGCCCTCTCGACCAAACACCACATCCTCGACGACTTCACGGCCTGCCGCTCGTGAGCAGCAACGCATCCCAAGATGCTCCCCCGTCGGCGGTATCGACTATTTGTCGTGGGAGCCATCGTCATTTGCTTCTTGCTTTACCGGGTGCTGCAGAACTCCTGGGACCAGTCCTACGAGAACTCGGCTTTCGCCCAAAGCAAACCTCACTCACCTCAACACATGAGCACAGGTGAACAGACTGCCCCTGCGAACCGTCCCCAGCCCCAGGTACCTCTGCCCGACAAATCCAAGACCAGCGACAAGAGCCAAAAGGATCGCGACTCTGCGCCCACCAAAGAAGATGAGGGGTCCGGACTTGGATCACAGCATGATAGCTCGAGCGACTCGAACGATAGCGGAGAGCAAGACGAACACACGGAAGCACCATTCTCGCCAAAGAATTCTCTTGATATTCAAACTACAGACGATGATACACCCGAGATGACATGGAAAAACCCACCCAATAAGGAGAAGAATGTCGCCTTCATTGGCTCAGAGGTGCACTGGACGAAGCCCAAAGAATACTTCCCTGTCCCTAAGGAGTCCATCATTCCTCTGCCCACCGGCAAGCCCAAGGCTATACCCAAGATACAATACGATTTCGGTACCGAGTCCAAGGAGAGTCAAGCTACTCGGGAGAAGAGACTTGGCCGAGTTAAGGCTGAGCTCACTAGAGCTTGGTCTGGTTACAAGAAGTATGCTTGGATGCATGATGAGCTGAGGCCGGTCACCGCGGAATACAAAGACCCATTCTGTGGCTGGGCGGCCACTCTCGTTGACTCTCTTGATACTCTTTGGATTGCTGGAATGAAGGATGAATTCGATGAAGCCGTCAAAGCTGTTGAGAAAATTGACTTTACGTGGACCAAGCGGCATGATATCCCCGTATTTGAGACTACCATTCGATATCTTGGTGGCCTCATTGCTGCCTTTGATGTGAGTGGCGGTCGCAAAGGATCCTACACTGTGCTGTTGGACAAGGCAGTCGAACTGGCCGAAATTCTGATGGGCATCTTCGACACCCCCAATCGAATGCCTGTTCTGTACTATGCGTGGAAGCCTGACTTCACCTCACAACCACGCCGCGCTGGTCGTGTTGGCATGGCGGAGCTAGCCACCTTGTCAATGGAGTTTACTCGTCTGGCCCAGTTGACGTCGGAGAACAAATATTACGATGCTGTTGACAGGATCACCAATGCTTTGATTGATATGCAAGAGGCTGGAACAGTCTTTCCAGGTCTATTTCCCGAGGAACTTGACGCGTCTGGCTGCAACAAGACAGCTACGACAACCTCAAGTTCCCTCAGCAAACTAGCCCGGGATCAAGTAAACAAGGGAGGCAGCTTGAGCGACCCTGAGGGTTATGTTCCGGGTAAGACCCCTTTTGGGGATGACCGGAAGTATGCGAAAATCGAAAATACCAATAGCCCAACACCATCGACTTCAAATGGCCATCTTTCACCCAGGGCAAGCTCAGATACGGATTCGAAATCTTCCCCGCCGAACAAGAACGACCTTGATCGAGCCATTGACCGTGAACGATTCCTACCTCCTTTTGCGGCTAATGGGCAAACGGCGAACTGGGACTGTGTTCCTCAGGGTCTAGTACCCGCCGGGTATGGTCAACAAGTGTTCCACATGGGCGGCGGGCAAGACTCGGCATATGAATACTTTCCGAAGCAGTATCTGCTCCTAGGAGGTCTCGAACCCAAGTATCAGAAACTCCACGAAGATACGATTGATTCCGTTGACAAGTATCTGATGTATCGTCCGATGATAAAGGATGATGATGACTGGGACGTTTTGTTTCCTGCCAAGGTGTCAACTTCCGGACAGCCCAGTGAAGATTCCTTCGCCAATTATGAGGTTACCCATCTCACCTGTTTCATTGGAGGAATGTATGGATTGGGAGGCAAGATCTTCGGACGGGAGAAGGACATTGAGACGGCAAAGAAGCTCACTGATGGCTGTGTGTGGGCGTATCAGTCGATGCCATCAGGTCTCATGCCAGAAGGCTCAGTTGTGCTCCCTTGCCCAACACTTGAAAAGTGCGAGTTCAATCAGACTCTTTGGTGGGACCGGTTGGATTTCAGCAGAGAATGGCGCGAGAAAGAAATTGCACGATGGGAGGCTACTGAAGCAGAGCTGAAGAATAAGAAGCCGCAGCAACAGAAACAAAAACAGCAACAAAAGGGCCAACAGCAGAAGCAACAGCAGAAGAAGCTCAACGATGCCAAGGTTCGAGACAGCGAGCCCGACGATGAGCTGAATGTCGGAGCAAGTGATCGGTTACGTGATAAGGGGCACACTATTGAAACAACCGGCTCCTCGGCCAGTGATCTTCACAAGAGGGTACCCCCGCCCATCACCGAGAAGCAACAGAACAAGGGGTCTGAACTCCCAGACTCGTTGAAGAAAAAGTTGGGAATCACCGATGAAGAGTCGCCTAAAGCATCCGCGGATAAGACAAATAAAAAACCCGGCTCCAGCGGAAAGGGGAAATCTGGATCGAGTGACTCAGTCGATGACAAGCTAGATGAACTGGATGACTTCGATGATCTTGACGACCTCGACGAGACCCCCAACATCCCGCATTCCAACGTGCCATCCAGGATGGCTGTGAAGTCTGAGAAGCCTCTGACCCATGAAGAGTATGTGAAGAAGAAAATCAGCGATAAGGCACTGCCTCCAGGCTGGGTAGACATCCAATGGCCTAACTATATTCTACGGTAAGTTTTTTGATTGTCCACGCATTTCATAGCCCAATCAATGCATGCTAACATGATAACAGCCCCGAAGCTATTGAATCTGTCTGGTACATGTACCGTATCACCGGCGACCCTGAATGGATGGAAAAGGGCTGGCGAATGTTCGAGGCCACGTCCCGAGCAACGCGTACTCAGTTTGCCAATAGCGCCATTGACGATGTCACCCGTGAAGAGCCGTCCCTGCTGGATTCCATGGAGAGTTTCTGGATTGCCGAGACTCTAAAGTACTACCTCCTCCTCTTCTCTGAACCAGACGTGATCAGCTTGGACGAGTGGGTGCTCAACACAGAAGCACATCCATTTAAGCGGCCGACATAGAGAGATTTAGAGAGAACAGACCATCTCGTGGCAGGCCTGGAACGTCTCGGTCTGTTTGGTCTTGTATGAGGAATTGTGAATTGGAAAGCACTCGTCGCATTTGTGAGCGATTGATAGCATGGCTTGGGAGGACACATTGAATGGCGTTTTGGGGTAAATCATTGTATTCTCTTTTGGTTTTATTTTTTGGGAACATGACAGTTAGCAAGTGCATATGGCATTGGGTTCTCGGAACCGTCCGTTTCAAGGGACTCGACTGGGTCATTCTACATCAGCTGTACACAATGGACACAATAACGAACACTGTTTTTTCCCAGATAAACATTTTGTTCTTTTCACTTCGAATGGCATGCACAAAGAAAAGCATCGGTCTTTTCCCAATGTTGCACTTCAAGTTTTATTTTATGCTTCTTATACTACCTATCTATACACATACACTACGCATATTTCCACATATCTGAACGATCGCAAATTGGAGGCAGAGAAACCATGTCGGCGTGAATAGTTGCATTCATTGGTTGTTGCTTTGGTCCGTCCAGCCCCCGCGTGGTTGAACATTCAATCTTCTCATAGAACATAATCGCCATCATTAAAAAACAAACACCACCAGGTTCCATCTTTCCATATCAAAATAATCCATTTCCCGATTTTCCACCTCTATAAGTTTGAGAGAAGATAAGAGTGTTCAAGTCCTACTCCAAAAATACAACGTTGCCTTTAAAAAAAACAGATTTCATGTGCGGGTTTCAAAAATAAACAAATTCGGGTTTCCATCAGCCAGGCTCCCCTGATCGAGTTAAGTGCGGGTTGCGGAGCATCGTCTCGTGAAGCCTCGTATGGTCCGAGGCTTGTTGCTGATGAATACTCCCCGAGCGTTGAGGGAGCTGGCGAGGAGAGAGGGTAGTAGTAACTGTCGGTAGGGGGAATGAAAAACAACCGTGTACCGTAAACTCCGATGCTCAATGCAAACGCGTAAAAAGGACCTTGACCTCCATTCTGCATCATATACTTCATCTTCCCTGGTTCTTCTGAGAAAGTATGGAAAAAAAAAAAACCCAGTCCTGGTTCCATTGTCAAATTTCCGGCTATGCCGTCATTTGGCTCAGGAATTGCATGCTAATAATCATAACAAGCAAACCTATCGTGACAACGATGAGTAGGGCGAAGGAGAACCAACCCATTACCATGGCGCTGGTTCCAACACCACTCTTGACAACTCCGTTTCCGAAATCCTGGGCTATAACCGAGGCGGCGACGGAAGCTGTATGCTGCCACAAAACGGAGACCAGAATGAAGATGGAGGCGACGAAGATGATGGCGAGGGCCACTTGGGAGACAGGTCGGGAGGGGAATGGCTTGACGGCGCGTTCTGAGCCTTCGGAGTCTTCCTCCTCATGCCATCCGGGCCACGTAGCGAGCAAGATGAAGCAGATAAAGGCGAAGATAATGGCAATGATACTAGTGGGCGTAGTGGGTTAGCAATCTTGATCGTAGTGTATCGCCTTGGAATTCGGAAGTGCTTACATCAGGTACGGGAACACGATCATATCCTTGAATTGCGCAGCCAGCCAAATCAGGTTCAGGGGGTCCTGCTCGATTTGAACTTCTTTAGCGAGGGCTGTAGCATTGTTACTGCATAGCCAGGAGCCGCCATCAGGATTGATACAGATGCCGAAGTAACCGACACGGGCTTGAAGATGAGCGCCTCTCGTCAGACTTTCCATATATGTGTGTACACCATAGTGAACTTGGGCTGTGTCTGGCACGGCTTCGTATTCTTTGTAGTACAGCGACAGGAGGAAAATGTCGGGGATCAGCGGCGACGATGAAGAACAGCCGGCAAGTAATAGTGCTGGAATCCTGGTTAGCAAAAAGCGAAACATGACTTAGGGATGTAGGCGTCAAGATTCACATAGAAGGATTATTGTGACAGCTATTAGAATCATCAAAACATGATGATAGCCTAGAAATGGCAGATATTCTAGGAGAAGTTGACTCGTTAGCATTTTGGTCATGTCAAAGGTGAGACATGGGGAAGCAAGGTAACATACGGTACCAAACGTCGTGGATGGTTGTTACACCCTCGTTGGTCTTGGAGCTGCTGCTCCCGCTGCTTGTTCTACTACCCATAGCAGCGGTGTTGCGGTGTGTCCCAAGTTCAAGAAGGCGGAATCAGTAGAGAAAACCCACACCGGTCTTCCTCCACTCCGGCCGTGAGAGAGAGACGGTTGGCTCGTCCAAAAGATCACCAGCCCCTAGCCGCGGGCTTGTTGTTTGTCGTCCTAGTCAGAGGTGCTGGGCGTTTTCAAATTGTGTTCTCCCCCCAAAATCTCGCAGGGCCCAATAACGGCGTCTCGGCGGACCGTGCAATCGTTTCGCTGCGTACAGTTATTCAAGCGGAGGAATGCTGGCTGGAATGAGTGCGCGGTACTCGGGCGGTGAAGCACTGAGGTGAGCGGATCGAAACGAGCGACGACGACCTGGAATGTGTAGAGTAAGACTTGACCTCGCCGATGGAACGACAGGAGGCTACAACAAAGACAAGGAGTTATTGGTTAGTAAGGGCGGAAAAGATTGGAACACTTATTCAGACTTTGGTATGATGCGCTCGATATCAAAGGAGAGAAGGAACGTTCCGCTCTCGGGCAGCGATGGTTTGTTTGCAATTGCAATTGGGATGGCTGGGAAGAAACCGGCGCTTGGGAAAAGAGGTATGGCAGATCATATGCATGCGCCCAACCAGAGCGTTTAGAGGGGATACGAGTGGCACCGGCGAGCGTTGCCCAGCCACTCCTTTTTTATTTACCCAGGCCGCGTTGACTGGGCGACCAGGCGGTGACGTTACGCCGTAGGCACTGGTGGGGCGCCGAGCCCCGTTACGAGCGGTCTAAGGTTGAGATTTCCAGGGGACTGAGACCCCACACCTGCCAGCAGAGGGGCCTGGACCCATGGATTTTCCAGGTCGGGCTGCCAGCTGTAGCCGCCTCGTAGTGGATGCGTACGCGGTGGCCGTTGGGGAGTGCAGTGTGGCTGCTGGCTGGACTCGGGTGCCTGGATTCTCTTCATCCCCGTGCATTCGGGATGCAGCACCCTTAACCTTAATTGCGTCGCTCTTCATTGACGAATCGATGTGACAATGACTGGCAGCGAGCCGTGTGCGAGAAATGATCGAAGCCAGGACCTTCAGCGCATCAACGGCCTCCGCGGGTACCTGAGCCATGCATGCATACCCAAGCTTGCCAAGCTGCTTGCTTGACATGTGGCTCGCTGATGGCCCAGGCTCAGCAGGCATTGAGCATTGCTCTTCCGGTGGCCTGCCCTGGGCTAGGCGATGGGAGCTGTTGTCGTGACAATTTAGCGCTAGCTCCTGCCCGTCTTTACGACGTCTTACTACGTACACTGGCAAGCTCATTTCGAAATATCTTGGCTCTGAAGGATTGGCTCTGCTGGGATAAATTCCGAAACGCCGATTTCCATCTGCGATCTAGAATACCTTGTTTTCTCTGTAGACGGAAGTTGGTCTCGTTGTCTTCAGGCACGTAAGTATTGGTCCCAGAAGTATGTTAGTCAGCAAGCGAGAGCTATCTATATTCCTGAGATACCTGAGCTCGTCAAAGAAAAACGTTGAGTTGTCAGTGCTACATTGATGATAAACTATACAAATTTACCATGTATTCAGTAGACCCAAACGATGTCACTGTATATCGGGGATTTTTAATTAATTAATAGACATATCGTGGGATGCCTTGCTACAGTGCCCAAGGACCTGGTACTGGAATCGCTCGGAGAAGGAAATATCCGGCAGTTGAGCTGCTTCCCCACGTCATACGTTGAACTAAACATGTTGCCCGCAGAGCTACACCTGTGAACCCAGTCGACGAAACAACGCCCATGTGCCGCTTTATCTCTCCGAAAAGATGGCATCATCACCGTTCATTCAAGGAGAATCCCTCGACAATAGGGTAGAGGATTATCTTGACGACAAACTTCAATCGACGACCGATCTCGATAGCCTAGACGAACTCCTTGCCAATGTCGAGCTTCAGCGAAACCAGCTACAGACTCAGCTCGATGATGCCGTCAAACAGCTCGAGGAAGCTAGGCACACTGCAGAGGACAGAAAAGCCTCCCTCGCCGCGCGAATAGATGAATTCCAGGAGCTTCAGGAAAGCATCGACCGGCGCGAAGCCATCGCTGCAGCCTCTGATGCGCCCGACCAAGCAATCGCTCGTCTCCAGGCTCCGATGAAGAAGCTGCGGTCTGTAGATCTAGCGCAGAAATATCTCCTGCTAGTCCAGGATGTCGAGAAGCTCCGCTCCGAGGCTCGCTCACACCTGCCTGAGAGCCCCAAAGCAGCCTTGGAGCCATATAGCAAGCTCAAGCAGATGGCTTCCAGGTTGAAGGAGCTCCAGGGAGAGGAGTCGCTACACTTGGTGGAATATGTCCATGGCGTAACGGACGCGCTCTGGACGGAAATGAAGACCACAATGTCTGCTGATTTTGAGACGGTCCTCGAGAAACGGAATTGGCCCAAGGTCGACCCGCAATCGCAAATGGATGATGAGTGGGTGGTATCCTTCGAGAAACTCATAGACCTGCAAATACCCGAGGTCCTTTATAGCACTGAAGTTGTTGGGCTTTTGCCTCTTGATGCTATGGCCAAGATTTTTGCCGCAGAGTTTCGATTTCACTTTCTCAGCGACAGGCCGACCAGTGACCCCCAAGCGATCGGGACCCATTGCTTCCCCTGGTTTCTAATGACGGTTGAGAAATGGGAAGACTTTCTCCGCGATAACCTTGCGCATCTTCTTGTGTCTAAGTTCAGGGATACAGGGGCTGCCACTTCGCTAGTCTATGTTGACCCAGTTTGCGCCTTTATCACGTCCCTGCTGCCAGTGGTTCGAGAGAAAATTCGAGATGTGACCGACAAAGCGGCAGACAAGCCTGCCTTTTTGAGCAGTTTCATCGCTCAGCTCATGTCATTTGATGAGGACATCAGATCCAGATTCAGCTATGATGGCGGAGACCCAGACCGTGGCTGGAAGGGGTTGGCAACTGAAGTCTTGGATACACATTTCGACACCTGGTTCCAGGCCGAGAAAGACTTTACCATGGAGCAATTCAACTCAATCCTCAGATCTGAAGATGGCAGAAATATCGACTTCGACTATGCAGCTGATGGACGCATGAAACCGACATATGCGGCTGTCCGAATCACTGATCTCCTTAGAAATACGACCAATCAGTACAACCGGCTAAGGAAAACAAAACACAAGATAAGATTCCTGATCCATATCCAACTTGACATTCTGGAGGAGTATGATGCCCGCTTGCGAGGGTCGCTTGAGGCATACCAGGCGATTACCTCCACCCTCGGGAGGACATTGCACGGAGTAACAAAGGAGCAGCTCGCGGCACTTGAAGGTACCGGGGCTTTGGAGACCCTTTGCAAAGTCCTAGGAAGTTCAGACCACATTGTGCACACTTTAAAGGAATGGAGTAACGAGGAGGTGAGAATTCAAGCTCGATCCATGCGCTTAGTCCCTAGCTAACGGAGCCAGTTCTTCATCGAGCTTTGGGAACAACTTCAAGCAGGACCCAAATCCAGTGACCAGGGCAATTTGAGTTTCGACGAGGTCAAGGGCCGCACCTCAAGTGCTATGGGTGAGGTTGAACAAGACGGGGCGCTTTTCGACGAGATGATCGCTTCATACTCGATGCGTCGAAGTTCAGCTCAAGCCTTGCTTGTGTCGGCACTGGTAGACTCGCACTCCAAGTCGTTCCGAGGCTACTCTAGTCGCGCTCAATTTACTACCATCGGTGATGCATCTGACCTCGGTGAGTATCAAACAGCCCACCATTTTCCTAACAGCAGACACTGACAATCACCAAGATGACCCTTGGCAGCTTAGCATCTCCCCTGAGCTTGACGAGCCATTGCGAATCCTTAGTCGCAACCTGGAGTTCCTCGTCAAAGCTCTCTCCACGGCTGTGTTCCGCCGCGTCTGGCGTGAGGCACTGGGCAAGCTCCAGGATCAGCTATGGCACGAGGTTTTGCTCCGTCAATCCTTCACTGCATTTGGCGCTACCCAGTTCTTCCGTGATACCAATGCCGTATTCTCTTTGGTTGATCGATACATTCCAGGCAGCTCGACTGTCATGGGCACCCTGTTAGATGGCGTCCGCTTGCTGAATCTCCCTGTCGAACTCAAGGGTGAAGAGAAGGGCTTGACGCTAAAGGAAGCAAGCGACCGAGTATTCACTGATAATGACGAGGCTAGAAAGGTCCTTGCTGAGCTACATCTGGACGCATTGACTCCGCAAAACTCTAGGTATATCTTGCAAAAACGTGTTGAAAATAGTGAGAATGTGGAGTGGTAGGGGGTCTATATATAAAAATATCTATCTATCTATCTATTCAGAAGAACAAGAATCGAGATAGACATGACTGCAAGAATGCGAACAACGCAATCTCCTACTCACTCCCAAAAGTAGATGCAAAAACCATTACTCCAGTATGGGTAGATTTTACCCATAATATAACCCTCGCAAGCGGTTGAGAGGTGCGACTTTTTTTCTATGACAAGCCCTCCGAGAAAAACCAGAACCAAATGTTGAATGACCTCAAGGCCTCCTTAAGACCTCAGCAGGAACCCCGTGTTCCCACTTCCCGTCCCTTCACGCGGGATTTAATTAATCAAACGCATTGTAAACTCAACCGTCGCAAAGGTACAGGCGCTGACCGGCATCGCCCTCAACAAGGTAGGCCCAATACCCTTCCAGAACCCCCTGATCCCATCGGCCTTCCACGTGGAGGCGAAGCACGAGCGCATGGTCGGGTAGTTTTGCTCGGCGCCGAAGCCGTCGGTCTGCATCTTGCTCTTGACGACGTCGAAGGGGTAGCTGGCGAGCCAGAGGGCCTCTCCCGCCAGACCGCCGTAGAAGGCGACCTTGTAGGCGGGGATGTCCTTGCGGTCGATCTTGTTGCGGGCGGCGTCCTTGTTCATCATGTACTCGAAGGCGGCGAACCAGGCGCCGTAGGCGAACGCCTCGCGCCAGATGGTGACGACCTCGCCGCGGTAGATGCCATTGAGGACGCCCTTGTGGGCTCCCAGCTTGCGGATGCAGTCCAGGGGACCGTCGTAGAGGCGGGCGGCGCCGTGCGGCTGGCTCTGCAGGCGGATGCGGACATGCTCGATGGGCCCCGAGAGGACCGAGTTGGCCACGCCGGCGAAGGCGCCCGCCGCCGCGTACTGGCTGTAGGAGAGCGCGCCCGAGTTCGAGCCTCCCTTCTCGGCGTTGCGAGACTCGAGGAAGCGGCGGGCCTGGTGGAAGGCGCCGAACTGGACGGAGACGCAGGCGCCGATGCCGACGAGGGGGGTGAGGGTGCCCTTGTAGAAGGCCAGGGCGCCCTCGTTCCTGTAGATTGAGGTGGCGGCGTCCACGGCTGACTTGTACTGGGACGTGGTCTGGAGCCGGACCTTGACGATGTCAAACGGCTGACCTGTGTGGGATAGACTTGTCAGTTTAGGTCTTGACTGAGAAGAAGAAGAAGGCTGATAAGAAGTCGGGTTGAGCAGCGGACAACTCGTCTCGCCTCTCATTCCCATCTCACACCTTTTCACATATTTCACTCACCAACTAGAACTTGGACAATGCCACCCATGGCTCCTGCGAACAAGTCCTTCGCGGTCTGAAGGGCACCGCCCTGCTCTTCCTCAGCTCCCATTGCGGCGACCTGAACACACACGCCGATTGGCCGGTCAGTGTATATGCGATTGAGATGCAGGTCTTGTAGCGACAGGCAGGCTCAATAGCACCAATTGAACACTCCTACAGCAGCAACGGGAGGTTTGGGCAAGTTCTGGTGAACAGCTCGAGAGAAACGCGCACGACAAAGAGGTAGTATTCAATTCAGTCGCTTAGACTTGCCGAGACTAACCAGCGCCCGCCATCTGTTTTTTTCCAGGGCCACTAGAACAACTACTAAAATACGCACTGCAGCAGTAGTATTACACCATCTGGGGCAGGTCTGCGATAAGGCCAAGACGAAATTCGGACCCGACCCGTTCCCCCAGTTCCCAAAACCAACGGCGCCTATCGCCCAGCGCCGATTTCGGACCGCTGACCAACGCGGGCCCTGCCAACGGCCAGCTTCCCGACTGCCGTAGTACCTTATCATAATAGAGGTAACCTAGTCTACGGTCTAGGTTACAATCTCTCATGGGTTCTCATAAGGAGGCCAGAGGTTTTTGCCGTTGGAGTTTCTGGTGATGCTCAGCTTGTGGAGGTCCAGGCCGTCAAAGACCCTGAGGTTCACCGGGTGGTGCTTCTCAAACAGCCCCTTCATCTTCTGCTCCTGCTCGGGCAGTTTCGCAAACTCCTCGTCGCCGATAGGCCTGTACTCATTGGTCAGCAGCGTGCCGCACCTGGTGCAGAACGTCTTGGAGAGCATGTTGCGGCCGAAGCTGTATCGCCCGATGTCCTGTTCCCGGCTGCTGGCCAGGACCACCTCCTCTGCGAGAGGGTAGATCCAGGTGTAGGCGCCCTGTAAAATGGTCATTTGCGCGCGTTAGCCTCTGATGGACAGTGAATCGCCCGCCTGGCCCATCTCCAGTGGGCGTACCCGTTCGCAGAAGCTGCAGTTGCACTCCATGACCCTCCCGGCAAAGGTGTCGTCGATGGGCTTGCTGGCGACGGCCAGCGTCACGGCGCCGCAGTGGCAGCTGCCCGTGTACGTCTTCCCGCCCTCGACCTCAGCCTTGGGGTGAGCTCCGTGATGCTTAGGCGTCTCGTAGGCGTTGCCAAGCGCCCTGCCATCGTATCTTTGGCTCGGTGTTAGCACTCAGTTGCTGCATGGGAGGTTTGTGAAGGGTGTACGTACGGCTTCTTCTCCAGTTCCCAGGTGTCCAAACCTTGGAAACTATGTGCCTTTTCACCCCAGGTCGTTAGATCTACATATCCATCCCAGCCTTAGGGTTGGAGACCACTTACATTCAACATTGTGTTCATTCCGGGTGGGCCCTCCGGCATTGTAGCCAGCACAGCAATGCCACAAGTTGGGCAGAACTGAGAACACCAAGTAAGTATCAGGCAACATCAACCGGGGCCAAATAGAAGTCTACCTTGTGCTGGATCTTCTCAGAAGCAAAACGATAAGTTGTCAACTGGTCCAGATCGCCCTTGACAACCTTGAAACTACCCTCTACTGGGTTCACGAGGAGATACCCCTTGCGGTGGCATATACTGCAATTGCACTGCATGACATCCTTGATCTCTGGCATCTGTGCCTCGAAAACAAAGGCGCCACAGTGGCAGTTGCCACGATATGTTTTGAAAGGAGCATTGTCGTTGTCCGCCATTTTTACGGTAATGTGCCCTTAGTACCAACTTGAAAGTTAAAATAGAGTGAGATGTAGTCGAGAGTCGTATCACGAAGCATTTGCGCAGGATAGCATTTATATAGTCACTCACAACCCCTAGTTAAGCCGGATAAACGGGCATGACCATGCATCATCTCTCCGCAATTCATTACACTAGATGGCAGACTATTTCACGAAGCTTTCACGAAATACGGGGAGTAGTGCAGCCCGTTTCAGCCGCATGTAGCGGCGTGCATTTGCTCGCACCGATTCCCTCTGAACGTGCACGGGGATTCTGCAACTCCGCTTTCGTTCTAGCAACTCAACAAAAAAGAAAGGCTATTGAAGCAAGATAACATCACAAGTGATAGCTGTATTGCCAGAAAGGGAATTGGCCGCATACTCATCTTGATCAAAACGTGTCAGCTACTGTTTAGCTAGGTAAATGATTGGCTTTCTAAAGTCTATATGCCAGTTGTACAATTCCGAAAGTATATCGGCTAAAGGAGTATGTATGCTCAACACCAAAAGCAAGTCTTCTGCTCCTCAACGCATATGGCTGTGTTTTCTCCAATATAGAAGCACTCAACCATTGGCCCATGCGCGTTGCGTGGGTTTGTTTCGAATCCATCCCGGTCAAGCCGACTCATGGTGATGAATTTATTAATCACCATGAGTCATACGGCCCATCAGTTGAATTTCCTCTTAGTATCGACGAATACCCTTTTTCCCATCGCTTTCCTTGGTCTGGGCACTGATACTCATTTCAATCGCCTCCTTCAGTTTCCCGGTGATCTCAGGTTGGTGACTAAACGCCGTTTGCAGGAGGTTCTCCAGCTCGGCTTCTATCTTGGCAATTGGCTTAACTCCGGCTTTCCTGTTCTGCGAGTCAATCATTAGAGTCGCCCACCGGTTCGTAAAGGCGTAGATGGACTGTCGAAGTATTTCGTCCAACTGTTCGCTCATGTCCTCGACAGTCATTGTCTTCGCCGTGACCGTTGGTGTACCCCGAGACCATAGCGCGCCCCCGAGTGACCCTCCGACAATGCTGCCAAGGAGGTTGCCCCAGTTCTGGGGGCTCAGCGTCTCCCAAATGTGGCCGAAATGCTGTAGTGAGGTGGCTTGACTCTGGCCTCGAATATCGCCAAATTCTAGCGAAACAAGCTCATTCTTGATAATGAGAAGGTTCTTGATCATGAAGATATCAGCATCGGTGCGTTTCAGCGCCCGAATCCTGGCTTCTGCCTTTTGCAAGAATTGGATAGTCTCGCGAACAATTTTGAAAACTACAGAACTGTTTTTGGCCTGGAATCGATAAGAATTAGCACCTGTACTTATTTTTAGATTCATATATTCCAAGAAATCAAACTTACAGATCGCTCTTTGGGCATGGCCTGGTCGAATTGCGCAAGAAGGCTGGTTGCGCGTTTCACCAGCGGGTGAGCATGCGAGGTGATGCCGTTTTCTTCCGAGGTGCCGATGTTGAGCGTGCTATCCAGAATCGGTGCTTTCGAGATAGACTTAGTTATTTCAGCTTCGAACGAAGTCTCGATGAAAGGCCATATCACGTCGATCAAGACACGTGCGGCGTACTCTCTACACTTGCGTAGGAAGGGTGACTCATCGTCCTCGTATTCCGCCACGGAGTATTCGCTTGCCAGCCAGCTTGCAATGTTGCATTTTGTTTGTAAATCAGCAGGCTGCAAGGTGGCTAGAAGAGCTGAACCTAGGGGTGCAAAGTGCCCAGGGTGAATCATGGTTGTGTTGATTCCTTTAATGGCATGGAATGCTGAATCAACCGCATTACTCCAAGAAGGCTCCACGCTAAATATCTTGATGAAAATAGTCTCCTCATTATAAACACGCTCAAACGACTGCTTGATGAAGTTGCGAGAGGCAGTCTCAATAGATAGGTTCTTTGACTCTGTCTTGTACTCTTCCAGATCATGCTGAGTCATGACCTTGAGCTCACGATCCCGGGCCGTCAAATAGGTTTGGAAAATGTTGGTGGCAGAGTTAATGTAGGTTGACACGTCACGAGGTGTATCGACTTTCCGGCCGTACTGGTCATAAGCATGGCGGATGACCCTCTGGACATTTGGAACGAGGAAGTACGTGTCCATCACCATCTCCTCAAAACGCCCGTAGGCTAGAGCATGACGTGCCGACTCTGATTGTGTTTCCGCAATTTGGCGCCCGATCTCCGACATGATCTTTTCTAACCGGCTTGTGAATCCGTGATCAAGGAGATGCAGGGCCTTTATCAGGAGCGAGTTATAACGTGCGAGGTACGTATCATGATCTCGATAGTTTTCCTATACACACATTAGCATTCACACGCATAGTTGGGGTTCCAGAGAGCTCACATGGTCTGTCATAAACTCGATGCAGGCATTGATGTCCTCCACAACGCCACCAAAGTCCTCGCCGTCTACGAGGCGGCCCGCGCCCGGAGCATTCAGTCGTCGGGTGGCCGTATCCAGATACGTGTAATAACGCAGGTCAGTGCCTACATCCTCAGCTAGGTACTCAAGTCGCTGTTGCTCAGAAAGGAGATCCTCGCATTGGGACTGGAAGGTCGATGTCTGTGCTTCAACAGCTTTGAACGAGTTGGAGAGCGTCGTGAGAAGGTCGAGGGTCTTGTTTGCGTCGTGAATCAGGCCATCGAGATGAACCTCGGTGAGCATAAGTTGGTGGCCATACAGCCTTGGTCGTGTTAGGAGATCCCGGGTCTAGTATTCTGGGGGTGAACACATACAGATATTTCTCTTGGCTTGCTTCAAGTAGCTCGGCGTTCCGTCCAGCGTAGGTCGGTCGCTCCCAATTGGCCTTGTTCTCCAATTCGAGAGCTCCCACCGAAAGCGTCAAAGCTTCCCATTGTCTGTTCTTCTTCCCCGAAGACCTAATATCCTTCGTAGTTTCTCTCGTACGTTTTCGGTAGAAATCGGAGGTGGACGCCGCTCGCTGTCTTACTGTGGCCTCTGGCGGGGTGTTGGTGTTTTCGATCTCTTGAAAGACATTGTCAACATTCGCTACTGTCCCAGCTACTGAGTTGGCTGTCTCCTATAGAAGGGATTTGTTAGGGGGGTCACTAATATGAGGAAGAGCAACCAAAGGCTGCGGTCCAGCTACACTACACGTACATGTGGTTGCTGGAGCAAGGTGTTCCCCCTCCGTCGGGCCTGGTTGGTGCGAGTTGTTGCGGGAGACACCTCGGGGACGTAGCTATACCATGAATCTTCGTACATTGTCGTCTAATCTGCAAGGCAGGGAGTTGTGAACTGCCCCAGACCCGATGGCAGATGGTTATAGCATGCGGCCGCTCGACGTCAATTCTGGTCGGGACGTTGGCACTCCGGACACCGAT